ATAGTATAGGGGATCTTGAAACTGTTCTGTTTGGTTATTCTTATGTCACCATCATAGAGGCTTGGTTGGTTGGTTTGACCTGGTTGCTAGCTTTGTATAAAACTCAGATTTGCAGTCTAAATGTTACTTTGAGTTATGGCTAATGCAGAATTTTAAGGGATAAAGGGAGGAAGTATGGTTTGGGGTATTATTTCTTGTTGTTCATATCTGGTGTTTGCATGCTCTGGATCCATCTGGCCTTTTAAATTTGAGACTATTAGATATTAAAGGATTCCTTAACCAGACAACGATAACCATCAACCCAGTTGGGCTGGAGCTGTTCCAGATTTTCTCTCTCTCCAAAAGCACAGATATCTTGTTTCTGCAATGCAAGGCTGCTTTCAACTGGCTGTGACTCAGATACGAGTCTTCCAGATGTCGTTGCAGGGTCCTGTGTGAGACTGTCTTACAGTGTTTAATCATGGAAAATGAAAGGAAGATAGTATCTTGTTTTGGCAACATATCACGTGCTCTGATTCCTAATTTTATTATGTCTTACTTACTAGAGCATGGAAGAAAATGACTGTAAAAAGCAAAGGTGTTTCTTTTTTGTTGGCAAAGTTGAAACCAGATGTGAAAAAAATAATTGATGGCAACACTGAATTGGTGTGAATAGCTAAAAACAAGGGTTAAATGACTTATAATGGTGGGTTGGAATGAGAACGGTTAATTCTCATATAATTTCTCTTTTATTTCTGTGCTATTTTTGTGTGGACACTATTCATCAATGTTCAGAAGCCCTCAATTTACTGTTTACAAAGTGTTTTTAGCAACAGTGGAAATAACCAAAATAGCTATATATATATATATATATATATGAACCCTTTTTTCTTCAGGAAGGGAAAGGCAGGAAAGTGTGACTGTTACTTCACTTGTGATGCAATACAACATCTCTTAAAATCTTAGGGATCTATATACTTGGGTATCTTAAATATGTAAAGTGAAGAATAAAATTAATTTTAAAGGGAATGCAGTAAAGTCACTGTCAGATGAACTGTCAGTCTTTCTGTGTACGCATGTGAATGCTGCATGTGTTTAAAATGTTACGTATAAATAACTAAACAGAGGTGTTGGTCCTATGCAAAGCTGTCATATCCCTCTGTTACTCTGTGGAGAACAGGCTAGATCTGGTCTGGTACCAAAGTTAGTGCTTAGTTTTAAATAGGGAGTTTAGACTGCCGGGCACAACAAATTTTCTCAGCACTTGGAAAGGAGCTCCCTAGTTTTACTGGTGTCTTGACATTTGTCTTACATTCCTGAAACCCGTGAAACAAACGACTTCCCTCCCTCTCCTTGTGGGCAGGTTATAGTTAAGAAAAGATTTAGCCTGTTTTATCAATGCTTTCAGCTTGACTCAGGTAAATGCAGAAGGGATTGATATACAGAAGTAGCCTGCAATTGCTCAGCACTTCTAAAAGTAATTCCCGCCGTAACCTACGTGCTAATCTTTCAGTGAGTTCTGCACAGATAAGTTTGATCTTCAGACTGAACCCCACAGAAGTCAGAGGTGACCTTGGTGCATTCAAATTCTAAGTGCAGACTTAAGGTGGACAGATACAAGAAGTATTCTCCAGTACTATTCCACAATGGTTTTGTCCAACAGGTACCAAATACCTCACGGATGACAAAAAGATTTTATCAGTAATTCTTTTATTTGCCTTTCTGGTCCAGTGGTGTCCCTCTCCCAACCCCTCTGCTGAGCAATACTTTAAAACTGATCATATTGTTTGTAATGTGTATGTGCTACTGTAAATAGACACAAAACAAAACCACTGATCATATTGTTTGTAATGTGTATGTGCTACCATGTCTATTTACCTGGTGTAAATAGACACCAAACAAAACCACCCTAAAAGCCTTAATGGTAGACAAACAAATGTAGAATGTTGTGTTTAGGGGCAGTTCTGTCTGTCAGAAAAACGTGACCATGGAGGAGAGGAACCTGGAAAGCTGCTGAAGAGCTATGGTAGCTGCAGTTCAGAAGGGACGGCAAAGGCAAAAGCATGAACGTCCTCAGCCAGTGAGGAAAAGTTTTCTCTTGCTGTATTTTGGACTGTGGGTTTTTTGTATCTGGAAGTCGATCTCCCAAGCAATGCGTTGGGTGCAGCCTTCTCACTTCCTTTGTGCTGTTGCAGTAGATAACGTCCTGCTCAAATCACACTCAGGAATCCTGATGTGTGTTTGTGCCTCTTCCACCCCATCACTGTCATGTATCCTGAAGAGGATGATCCTGAAGAGGAAGGTTAATCTCTAGGTTAACCTTAATCATATCTGTAACTTTCAATGGTGTGTTGTAGCCATTCCTCTGTAAGGTACTTTCTAGCATAATTCAGTACAAAAAGTGTAAACTATTATTCTGAGATTATTGCTTGCTGAGTCCGTTGGGTCTGTGAGGTTTGGCTGCTCTGCAGAAACAGCCCTTATAAATTGAAAGCTGATTGAAATGTAAGGCTAGCATGTACTTTTGCTTTTTTCCTGGTGCAAGGCTTTACCCCAGCTCTTGCAGAAACAGCACGGAGAAGAAATTGTCTTGCTTAATTTGCACAACAAAATGAAGATGTGATAGTGGCGTGGTTGGGGTACCCGTGCTAACTTCAATCCAAGTAGCACAGGGAATACATGCTCAGAGGAACTGATAGGGCAGGCAAGCAACAGGCTGTGTATGTAAAGCTGCTGTGCTGTTGTATACTGGATGTTAGCTTGTGACAAAGTCTCTGCTGCTTGCTTGCTGCTGCTGCTGGCATTACCTGCCTTAATTATGTAAATGCTGTTACAAGTGTGTCTGCCATGGCATCGTGCACCTTCATTTTGTTGTGCCTCTGAAGTCCCAGCTCGTTGGGACCCAGTTCTCAAACTGAACGTACAAGAACTGGATGAAAGTAAAAAGCAAAGGCTGATGTTAGTGGTTTTTACTGGTGTAAAGCTTCCGTGAGTGACTCTGCAGAGAAGGGGGTATTGTCTTTTAAACAATCAGCTACATCAGGTTTCTTGGAGCCCCTGCACTTCCCTTCTTTATACTGAATCAGAGAGGCTCTGCGTGGCACAAAGTTGAGCTGTGCTGCATGTACTGACCCTAAGTGGGAGCAGGCTGAGGTGGGATTAAGGTTCACTGAATTGTCCTTGATGAATTGGCATCCACCAGTCTTGGGGACTTGCTTAGAAAGGATGCAATCAGAGCAGCCCTGTAGGGGATGTCCTCTCTCCAGCCATTTCTTCGGTACCTCTGGCCGTGGAAGGAGGAGTTAGTGTTTTGAGTGTAACCGTATGGTAAGAGATCAGATGAGAGTCTGGGATTTGTACTTCATCATCTGGGTTTTGTGAGACCAGTGCGATTTTGTTCTCTTACTTTTTAAAACTTGCACGGAAAATAAGAATTGTCTTATTTAAATAAAGCCTAAAGTATTGTCATAATAAGACGTTGCTAATTACTTGCTTTTGGGTATAGTTCTATGATACCGTCTGTTATAAATGCTGGTTGCTTACATGAACAAGAAATAAATTTATATTGTCTCTGCTCCAAAGAACTAAAATTCAGCATATCTAGGTATTTGAATTATTGCATTATTCTATCGTATGGCTGCCTGCGTCACTGACATAAAGGAACTGCAGCAATGTAACCAACAAACCTTTAATAGAAGCCCTTGCTTGAACAGCACCATGTTGGATACAGTTATCCAGAATAAAAGCAGTTTGGGGCTATAATGTCTTGTTAAACATGTTATGATGTTTTTGACAAGAAGCCTGGCAGAATCCAAGCACCTCTGGACAGCCAGCCTGTCAGAGCATTTTTGAGTGAGATATATCATCCTGTCCTGGACTGATAGCTTTGGAATTCTCTAGTCCAAGTGACTGCTTAAATGTTTCAGCCTATTTAGTTTTGCTTAGTCTGGGATGACTTGCTCCTGGAGGGCTCAGGGTGAATTTTATTTTATTTTTTTTAAAAAAAGGCTGCAGCTGAATAAATGAATTTAACTGCAGCTGCCTAGGGTCTAGGCTGGATTTACGGGTGTCGAACCCTAATGCTGTATTGCTCTGTTAGAGACAGCTCCCAAACTCTGTTGTTCCTCTGACTTCAGGAATTTCTGCTGAGGTTCCCAGGGAGAAGCTGACTTGAAGAAGACAGCTTGGTATTGATTTTTGCTCTGAGAACCCGAAAGCTTTTGCTTGTCCTTATGTCTGATAGGAGTAAGCTCTAGTCATGACTGCCTGCCCTCTGCATATACCTGTCTTGTGCTTCTTACAATGGGGCCAGATGGCTTCCCATGCTCTATAGAGAGACATGCAGGAGCCAAAGAACAGTTGAGAAGCACTTTTGTTTAGCTGTCTGCGTGATGCTGGAGATTGCAAAGTTGTTTTCTTTGCACTCTGGAGCTGCAAAAAAAAGGGTAAGTTGAAAGGCCTGCTTGGAGGATGCTGGGGAGGGGAGCATTTCAGCTAAGAAGGTTGTCTAGTTACCGCTTGTGAAACGGTGTCACATCAGGATTGTTGATTTTGCCCTTTTGTGGGGGTTTGTGGACCTGGTTGAGCATTGGGGCAATGCTTCAAAGTCTCAGTCTGAGAAGAGGGTGATGTCCCCTGGCTCTGGGTTGGGCTGGTGTGTCAGCGCTGCTGGCAGCAGAGCAGAGCCCTGCCCCAGGGAGAGTGAGAACAGCCCAGAGCCTGTCCCTGCCACAGGTGTCTGGAGCCTGTTCTTCCTCCTGACTGAGTTTTTGGGTGGCTACGTGCTTGTTTAATCCCTTCTGTTGTTGGCCAAGGGAAGTTACCGCTTGGGTTCACGAGTGAGAATGCTAAGAAACAGAAGATTCATTGCTCTTGCTTTTCCCCCACTTTTCCTGGCTCCACTTTTAATTGTTCTTCGAATGGAGAGCCTCCTTTCCCCCCCACCCCACCTCCAAGAATCACAACCATTTTTTCTTTCATTTGTCTTTTACAGATCAATTTCGTAGCCTGTCAGCTGTTTGCACTTTTGGCTGCGTTTTGGTTTCGTATTTACTTGGGTCCCAGTCATGCCAGCTCTGCAGTTCGCCATGCATTTGCCACCCTCTTTGGAATATACTTTGCTGTCTTCTGCTTTGGGTGGTGAGTATTTAGTCACCATGTAGACAAGGCCTGGGTAAAAATATTTTTAAACTTCATATCAGATTTTCTGGTTTACATCTTCTTAGTCTTAAGACACTTTCTGTGTTATACTTCAAAAACCCCAACAATTCCTAACCAGCATAACCATCCCAAACTCTTAAAGTAAAATGAACCGTGAAAGTATTTGTAAGTGAAGTATTTAATCTGTGGACTTTGTTCTGGAAGTTAAGGCCACACCAGTCTGCTGTGAAGATACCTCTTTTGGAAAAGATGTGTCCAGTTTGAATGTGCCCTTTGAGTTAGGCTGCTCTTTCTGTCAGTGAAACACATTGACAGTATCTTGCCAATAAGTATTAATTTATGTTGCATATTCAGGCTGTAAAGATGTCGTTGTGATAACCCATGTTTACTGATACCCCGATATGACATCGCATTTATGTCATTTGCATGGAAAATTATTCCCTTGCTCTGAACTGCCAGCCCTTCCAGGTCATGTAGAAATTATCTAAATACTCACTTTGTTGTCTTCAAGGTATTCCATTCATCTTTTTGTCCTGGTGATGATGAACTATGGCATTATGAATATGGCAAGCATTCCCAACATCCACAGGTGAGCTGATGCGGCTGCAAGTCTGGAGCTGCCTCTCTGGCAACTTCTCTCCTTTCATGGAGAAGCATGAGGGTTTTTTAGGACCACCTTCTCTTCTCTTTTGCTTTTCTTTCCCAGTTACTTGCAGGAGCTTTGTTCATTCGGTTACAGAAGCAGCTGTAATCTCAATTTGTGGTTTTTGCATTGATATATTGCATTTCCCAACAAAATTCCTGGCCTCAAGAGCTGGCTTTTGCAGACTTAATAATTTATGCCCAAACCTCTGGTTTCTTAAACATAATGAAGTCATATTCTCCTTGGTCTTGTGTCCTTGAGGATCTCTTTTGATAATTCTTTTAAATGTGTTTTCCCCTTGCTGTTTGGCCTTTAGGTATTTTCCACTTATTTGAACTACCTAACTCAAGAATAAGGTCACTGTGGCAGCTTAACTTAGTGATCTACAAAATTAAGTCTTGCATTTGGTTATGGGCTTTGAGTTTGAAAAAGTAGAAAGTACCAGAAATGTCATTGCTTTGAAGCAGAAGCTCACGGCATCAACATGAGAAGTTTTCTTTTCCTTATGCAAATGTCTCAGAGGAAAGAAGACACCTAGACTCCTAAAGTGCTTTATCAAATGAGTGCCTTTCTGGCCAAAAGATATATGGAAATGAAAACTACATGCTCGTTATATCTGCTTCTTTCACTGACTAAGAGGAAGTTCATGCAGAAGAACTACTGTGCTTGGTCACTGAGCCTCCTTGTGTGGGTCCCATGTTCTCCAATAGAGTTCAGCATGTGGGACCTTTTAAAATTGTGTAGGTGGAGTCCTTTGCTTCCCGTCAATCTGCACAAATAGGAATTTTTATTCATACAACTGCTACTTGATAGCAGGCTAGAAGGATGAGCTGGCAGTTCTTCCCACTTCTTTATTTTTATGTTGTTCTCCCTAACAGCATGTGGTTAATCCTGTGGTTTGGTTTCAGTGTGTTACAGGTGATTTCTGGCTCTGTGCTGTGTAGCTCTTTCTGTAGCAGCTGCTGAATGCTCACATCCACATCAGTCTGGGCTGGGGAACGGAAACCCTTTTTTCACTTGTCTTCAGGGCCAGGGTTGTCTGAGGATCTGATGCTCAGATAATCATCTCCCCTTCTTCTTTATCTCTTCCTGAGGCAGCCTCTCTCTAGTATAAAATTTGGAACCATCACTTATGATTTCTCTAGGATTGTTTAGAAATGTGAACCGTAAACAACAGGCCTCTCTATAGCAGTCACTGGCATTTTGCAACAGCAGGATAGGTATTAAGGAAGGAGGTTTGTTCCAGCCCTTCACAGGGTGTATAGTCCAGAAGTGCAGAGGTAATTAATAATTAAAAAAAAAAAAAAAGTAATTGCACAATATTTATGAAAGAAATGCCATCCAGAGACCAGAAGGAAAAGATGCTAAAAATGTGTACAACTTGTCTTCTGATCATTGTCCCTGCCCGGTGCTTGAGGGAAATGCAGTAGTTGCTGATTGTAGACCAGAGGAACCAAGTCTACAGAGGGAATCATCCAATACTTACTTATATCTTCCTAGACAAGTTGTTGTGTTAGTTAGGGAAATGAACACAGTTTCAACAGGAAACTGCCTCCCTCTTACTGTTTTTAGCCAATTAGTCACAATGGGGGAAAAAAACCATGTATACTGCAACACAAATTAAGTTAGTTCGTATAATGTTGCCCACTGCTGCGAGACAGTCTTGTGTTGATTTGAGTCAATGTGAAATAGCAATCCAGCCTGCTGTAAAACCATAGGAGGGCTAGAGGGATTAGGTTAGGACTCTTATACTGTGTTCCACTAGCCATAGCAGGGTGACTCAAAATACATCCACATTATTAATTTTGGCAAAATAACAGTGTATTCAAGCTGCTTGAGAATAAACTTGAAAAATGCCAGTTTAAGGGCTGGACCTGTTCATACTGAGGGCCTGTAAGAACACTGGATCCTTCATAGTGGGACTCAGAGATTTGGCTTTTTTCCCCCCAGCACGCAAGTGGAAGTGAACAAATGAGATGAAGAAACTATGTAGTTTAACCTGCATGCTCCTTTCCCTGGATATTTTCTGCTCGTTTGCTCTCTGGTGAGGCTGCCAGCCTTCAAGATCTATAAATGGACAAACTAATCCAGCATCAGAAATGCTCCCAGCTGCAGCAGCAATTCAGTGTATCTCTCTCTCTTCGCCTCCCTTTCAATCTAGGAGCTTTACACTTAAACATTGAGGCTTATTTTAGATGCTTCGTCCTGTCTGTCACCGTTACACATCTGAGCTGGGTGACTTGCCTTTGGAGGGATGCTTCTGTTCTCCGCTGATGAGAGGGAGCCCAAGGACCTGGCTGAGGCTGGACTGAATGCCTGACCCAGATAAAATAAGATAAATTCTGCTCTAAATCTCCTAAAGAAGCTGTCGTGTCCCCTCAGTCTGCCTTTCATCCAGCTGTTTGCTGTGGGCCACATGACCTGCAGGTTGCCTTGCAATCCATCACTGTCACTCACGCTGCAGTTTATTTGTCCTCAGGGAGGCAGAGCTCATTTCTTTTAAAACCAACCGTGATCTGACAAAGGCCTGGCTCATTTTCAGTCGTCTGCTTGACTGTTCCTCTTGTCTGGTTTCACCTTTAGTTCTCCACCGTGATCAGTCCTCTGAGTGAGTCTGGGGGCACCCTGCTTGGCAATGTGTGTTTACCAGCCTGCCTGACCTCACGTGGCTCAGCTCTGCTGGGTGGGTAGGATGTGCAGTCTCATTCTGTAGCCTCTACGTCTTTACATCTTGTCCCCAGTGAGGCAAACTTCTCCTGAAGCAGGGGACACCAGTAGACATGGTCTGGACCTGTCTGTGTGATGCAAGCCTTTTATTCTGGTGTCCCAGCTCTCCGCTGTGCTAGTTTGCTTCATGTGTCAGTCTGTCTCCAAATATCCATCCACTTTTTATCTCCCCAGTATCCCCTTCCTTGCTTGGGTAAATACAGGGAGAAGTTAGTGGTATGAAAGGCAGCATCTGCCCCACCTAGAGACTGCAGCACTTCCAGTCCTCCCAGACCTCCAGTCCAATTCCTGTTCCATTCCTTAAGATAAAAGGAGTCATGCTGCTGTCCTGCCTAATGTAATTTTGTGATTATCTTGAAAGAAGAAGTTGTCACACTCTACTTGAGTGCTTCATCGGTTGGACTTGATGATCTTGAAGGTCCTTCCCACCTTAAATGATTCTATGTTTCTTTTGGAAGATTGTGTGTTTCAGCATGTAGAGCTGAAAAGATTAGGCTACATGTCATTATCTGCCATTATATAAAATCAGAAGAGAGAAAATACCTCTAACTTGAAATATTTTCATTTCTGGTATCTCTGAGGAAGAGTTGTACATGTAAATAAAGAACATTTACAGATAAAAAAAAGCGGTGGATAATTTCAGCAATGCACATACAGTGTCATCTGGTTTCAAATACTTGAGTCAGACAGAAATTTCAAAATAGTGTGTGAGGGTGGGAACTCTGCAATTGAAATGCCCAACCTGAACTGATCCTATTTCTTCTTTTCTCTACTCCCACCCCCAGTGTGAGGAGACACCCCCGTAATGTTTCAGCTGTGTACACTAAACTGTCAGTTCTCTTTGAAAATTTCTGCCACATCTTGCAACATCGCTTCAGACTTGTTAACACCCTAATTTGCAAAAATCAGACTCTACTCCTAAACAAGCCCAAACCCCATTTGAGTGATTCTAGTTCTTGTTGGTACTTGTGTTGGTAACTGTGTCTTCTGTATGTTATGTTTTTAGGTACTCCTTTGTCGTAGCTATGGGATACCTCACGTTGTGCCATATAAGCCGAATATACATATTTCATTATGGCATTCTCACTACAGATTTTTCCGGGTGAGTGAGTCTGCAAGTTGCATCCTATGTCAATTAGTATTAGCTGAATCCAGTACGTTTTAAGAATAATTTTTATGTTATCTGTGGAGCACCTGCCATTTTGTTGCCCTTAAACTTTTCCTAAGACTTTATTTTATTTTTTTTTTTGAAGGAAGGAATAAACGCTGTTTGATTTTTTGCATTGACACGTTGTTTCTGCCGTTTTCTTGCTAGGCACTGTCTAGTTAGGAAGGTAGAGCTTGGTTAGCAAGACTTCCACCTGGAGAAGCCTACCAGGATAAGTCTGCACAGTCCTTCACTGGTCCTGGAGGAAGGCTTTATAGCCCTGGTGAGCCCCATGGCTGGTGCTCTGCTCCCTGAGAGGTGGGATGGGCAGCTCTCCTCCCACCTTCCTAGGCACAGCCATTAGCTCCAGGTCATCTTTTCCCCCAGGTTCTGATTTATCTTGATGCCCCAACTGGGAAAGGTGTTTCCCACCTGCAGCGGGCAGGAGGGGAGGACTTGGGCAGGGGGTGAGTGGCTGGGTAACCCGGGCAGAGAGACATGAAATCAGCTTTTGCTCGGCCAGTCTTATGGGTTGTCTCATGGAGAAAGGTTGTGGCTGCTGTTTAAATAGCACAGTTTTTTATATGCCATGTATTTCTGTGAAGCAGTGTTTTTCATACACATTGTAGTCTCTTTTTGATTTCACTGAAGCTGTAGAAGACGCTTTGCAAAAATATAGACAGCTTTATATATTTTGTTTATGAAAGTATACTTTTGCCTGATTTTAAAACAGTGTGCTAATCTGTATTCCACTTGTTTAATTGAATGTCTTGAATACAGAGTAATTAGTAACATATTATGAAAAACCTCAGTAAACTGGCACAGTAAGTTACAGATGCCTCTTCCAAACCTCTGTCTTCTTACAGGCAACTGGAGTTTTGCTGTCTTTGTGCATGTCTCTCTCTGTGAGATGGTGGTGGGTTGAAGCATTTAATTAAATTGGGTGGGATAGGGAGTTTTTTTCTGAGACTTCTGAGTTTTTTATTAGAGGAGGGGGCAGAAATGGGAACTCATACGTTTAGAGAAATGTAGTTCTATAATTTTTTTTTTCTGCAGTTCTTTTAATACACAAAAGCATGTCCTGAAAGAGCATGACATACCAAGAAGCCTATAAATGGGATTGGAATGCTATAGCTCTGTGTGTCTATGAGACAGACACAGAGAGAAGTACGAGAGAGCATTCTTTGCTGAATAGTGCATTAAGAACTGCATTGTGAGGCGTGTTAGCTGTCTCCCTCTGAAGACATTTAATAAAGATCCAGCTGAGACTGGGGGTGGAAGAAGAGGAATGGTGTTTGCTTATATTATAGACTAGGTAGCATTTTCTGCTCTTTTGATGAAAAGGGAGCTACTTTTATTTAATGATGAGTTTGAGGATAATGATAGTACTGAAAAATAATACTTGAACTTACTCTGTTATTTGATTTTTGTACTGACACTTCAAGATATAAACCAATTCCTAAACTTCAGTCAAACCTAAAACTGCCAAGTAGTAAACAACTGGAAAATGTGGTGTGGGTATGAACTACATCTTCATGGTATATTTTAAAAGCTAAGAATAAATAGAAATATTGTAGTGGTATTAATAAAAATTTGCAATCCATACTGCTCAAACCCAGGTTAACCTCATAAATCTGTGAAAACCTGTTTTCCTCAGCTGTAAATAGTGTGTGCCCAGTGAAGTTTTATGCACATGTCTAAACTGGTGTGATGACCCAGAGAGACAAAAATATGCTCCTTGACCACAGTTTACCATATGTGAGCAGCAGCTGAACCTGTTGCTGCTTCTCCCATGTTTGATGGTTCCTCATCTAATGCGTGTGGTAGTAGGAAAGCATTCAAACAGGCTCTTGGCTAGAAGGATGGCCTTCGAGTTCTCCCTCAGGACTGCAACTGAGACAGAATCTGTGGAGCAATGCCCATCTCCCTCCAACCTCCCATCATTTTGGGTGAACATGGCTGGGGATGTATATGGAGAAGACAAAACACTGGATTTAAGGAAATCTTTAAGAGGGAGCAAAAAGCCTGTCATCTGCTGACTTGTGTTTGAGATGTCAGTATCCTGTAAGTCTCTGGTGATATCTGATTGCAAGGAAGAACTGTTAATCCACATCACATAGACATGTAGCCAGTTTTAGTGCCATCAGCTTTCCAATGTCAGTTCCCTAAAGTGACGAGCTAGGTGTTAAATGAGTGTTTCCCAATGTCTAAATATGCTATCCCAATATGCTAAAAACTGGCATACCTTGTTTGCTCTCTTGACCTGCTTTGTGCACTTAACAGTTTGCATGCATAACCCTTTTGATGTGTGCTTGCAAATGTATTCTTTTTTTTTGGTTCTTTAGTAATAGTTGGTTGTGCTGTTTGTTTGGAATCCCCCCATTTTGAGAACACAGCTTACAAAATGCAGGTAGAGATGGGCGGAGAACAAGGCAGCTTTTGAGTCATGTTTTAAGTAGAATGGAAAATCAAACTGTGACTCACCACTTCAAGGTTAAGAAGTAAGGAAACTTGTTTCTGTACTGATGAGTAGTTAAGTCTTCCAACTCATGCAAAGGGTAGGTTTGGTCACTGACTCCCACAATCAAAACTGTACTCAAGCTGCTTGCAGCAACTTCTTGATTTAAGAGTGTTTCACATATTGCATAGAGCTTAGGTGAAAAGTCCATTTTTTTTTTTTAAACTACATGCCAGGTTTTAATGAAAACCAGTTCCAGTTTGCTACAATTTAATTTTAATTGCTTCTAAGTTTATATATATTTTTTTTCTAAAAATTCTTTCATTTATATTGTTTCACAAAAATGTGGTGACATAATTTAGGAATTTTCCCCTAACTAGTTTCTCAAATAAAACAATTTATTTTTGAAAACTAATTGTAAAGTAACTGAATGCTGTGCTTCCCTCTTAGTTCAAATCAGTCTTTGAAAGAAACATGCATATTTTATTTTGCTTGGTTTGCCATGGCATTTATACATTGTACCTAGGAATACTAAATCCTAACTCTTTCTCTCTCTTTTTCTTTCTCTTATTTCTTCTTCTTTATGCTAAGAGGATTATGCTGGTAAGTTGCCTGGTTTCTATACAACTTTATAAAAATGGTAATACTAACATACAGTTTAGGATTTTTTTTTTTCTTTGAATCACTGGCTTAGATTGAATATAGCAATATCGTGGCTTTAGGGAGAAACCAGTTTAAAACAAATCAAGGGGTCTTGAGTGGGATTTTTTGGAAACTAGTAATAGACATGGTTTCAATCTAGCAACCTATGTGAACAAATGCCATATGCATATGATCATCTGGGTGGAATTCAGAGGAGCTCTTCACCTGTATGAAGTTGTGTCTGCTTTAATCCTCTGCTTGATTAAGACCATAGAGCTTTTTGATTTCCTTTTTGAATTCTTGCAGTGTCACAGCAAAATTTCCTAATGTTGTAGCTCATTTGGTGATTGCCAGGGAACGATTGTGCATATGTGAGTTTCCTGGTGCCACTCCTTACAGAAAAGAAACTCTGTTTGTGAAAATCACTGCATTGCTTTCAGTCTTCTGTCGGTCTTAGAGAGATCTGAGCTGAATTATCAGGGAAACTCGAGCAGTTTTCTTCCATACAGGTGTCAAATCTGTGTCTCTTACGTGAGTGTTTTGGTGGACATCAATGTGCAGAGGAATGGACATCTTTGCACGTTCGCTCTATCCCAAATGCAGGATGGAAGCAGCATTCTCAGCAAACCGCTTAGAAAGGGATGGTCATTGAAAGAGCCCTCTCAAAAAGCCATATAAGCAGATACTTTAATAAGAAGTGTCACTTCAGGCAGTGAATTTTTGTTGGGTGCTTTGTTACTGGTTTTTCCCCTCTTAGTGGCTTAGTATCAACCACAAAAGAAAGGAACAAAGGTACAACAGCCCTTTTTTAAAAAGGAAATAATACATTTGCTGATGGAAACAAACATAGGTGCGCTTTGTTACCATGTTAAAACACAGTGCCCAAATACTAACTGGTCTTGCGAGTTCAGCTGACTATATTTATTTTCTTGGTTTTTTAAATATATGAAGCACAATACGTTGCCTGCGGCGTAGGTTCCAGTAGCTCTGGGTATCTTTGGTCCGCAGTAAGTCCCCGGAGGCATTACAGCAGGTGGGGTGAGTTAAGGGAAGGTCAGCCAGGTCTCTGTGCTGCTCCGCTGGGCGTTGGTCCACTTGAAAATGCACCGAGATCACTTACCATGGGTTACAAGAAGCCCTGCAAGAGCTGTGATGTGGGAATTAGCCAGAATTCAAGCAGGCAGTCGCTACCAGAGAGCTCCACACATCTCGTGTATCCCAAGGCACCTCTCCAGAAGTAAATACCCTTTTAAGTGAAATGCTTCTATCGTGAAGGCATAAGAAACTCCATTTAGGAGCTTTCACCAAAAGAAAAACCCACGTGAAGCAAACTGGAAGTTGCTTTGGAGGCACGAGTGTGTTTAGTGAAGTGTTTTTCCTCCGTGTGCTCCAGCAATTCTTCATTTTGCTGTCGAAAGCAGCAGTAAGAGCCCGCTGCCAGCGAAGCCGTGGTGGTGTCTCTGGCTGGGCAATCCCCTGGGCAGCGTGTTTCACGTTGTAGTAGAGTGTGACGGTGTGAACTTCTCCTCGTGGCTTCAGGGCTCAAGAGATAAACCCCAAACAAATGTTTTTGCTGTTTTGCGCTCTTGTCTGCAATCAGCCTTTTGACTCCACCTCCTCTCTTAGTGAAATCAGGTCAGTGGAAACTATTTCTGGCCAGCGTGTGCCAGACTCCTCCACGGGATTACCGGAGGTCAGGCAGAGTCTGCTTGGTAAATGTCTTTTCTCTCCTAAGCATCAAAACTTGCTCAGTGCAGAATGTGATACGGGGGGATCCCCATAGCAGGCTGCTGCAAACAGATGCTGACACCTTCAGTTCCACCCGCCCGTGCTTCTGGGCCAGTTTATTTTACTGGGACAAGCCGTGTTTAAAAAATGACATTTAACTGGTACGTTTTCATTTGGAAGGTTTAATTGGGAGGGATAAAACCCTCTATTTGGCATTCTCTGTAAACTGTTGCATCTTTGTCGTCTTGTTTATTTTTCAAGGCATGTAACTTAAAGTAGACAGTTTTGAGTTTGTTTGTTTGTTTTCATTTGTTGAAATTTCCTATTTCATACTGACTTCCAGGGGCAATTCCTTGATTTTTTTTTTTTTTTTTTTTTTTTTTTTCTTTTTGTCCTCCTGCTACGAGGACAGGCTGAGGGAGCTGGGGTTGTTCAGCCTGAAGAAGAGGAGGCTCCGGGGAGACCTAATAGCGGCCTTCCAGTACCTGAAGGGAGCCTACAGGAAGGCTGGGGAGAGCCTGTTTAGAAAGGCCTGCAGTGACAGGATGAGGGGCAATGGCTTCAAGCTGGAGGGGAACAGATTTAGACTGGAGATTAGGAGAGGGTTCTTCACTGTGAGGGTGGTGGAGCACTGGAACAGGTTGCCCAGGGAGGTGGTTGAGGCCCCATCCCTGGAGATATTCAAGGAGAGGCTCGACGAGGCCCTGGGCAACCTGGTCTAGTTGGGGGTGTCCCTGCTGACTGTGGGGAGGTCGGACTAGATGGCCTTTGGAGGTCCCTTCCGGCCTGGGCAATTCTATGATCCTATGATTCTATAAAAGTTGGTCACTATGGTTTGTGTGTAGGAGGTACAGTGCAGCTACAACCTCAGATTAAAATCTTAGCCAATATATAAAACATAGAGGGAGGAAAAAAAATCACACCACGGGTAAATCGAGCTCTGTGTTTCAGTGCTAAGTTCATAACCGTAGTGCTTAGTAGGACAGATGAAGAGGAAAGGATGTGGAATCACCGCTCTGCATGTGGCTGCAAAGCAATTGGAAAGTGTTCAAATATAAGGGAGTTCAAGTCATTTCGACTTCTTAAACGTGTTTTATTTCAAATGCTTCCTTCCTCAGGGTGGGGCTTCATGCTTCATCTGTAAATGTAAGCACAGTAGATATGTTTTCTTTTTAAATTCAACCTAATAATTTGCCCCGCTCCAATAACCTGTGCATCTCTCAAAATCTGGGAGAAAGAAAGGTTATTGAAAGTTTTATAGTTTGTTTTTTTTAACTCCCTTTCTTTTTTGTAGCACTACTGACTTCCCCAGTAGAGTCTAAGGTTTAAAATATTATCATGTCAGAAACAGTTGACTATATGTGATATGATGCTGGATTTTATGTATTAACTTAATCAGTGTTTTATTGCTGTTTAAAACTAGAGCTTGCCTCAAAGGCTGAATAGAAATGACAATTCAATACTGGGGTATTGCCAAGTTGCAATAAACAAAACTCACATACATATTTAGGAAATTATGATACTATTTTTCCTGTCTAAATTAAATGTATTTTTATTATCTAATTTTTAATATTGTTTCAAGACTTGCATCCTTGTGCATTGCTTTGGAAATATGGGGGAAAGGACTGTTTTTCATACTGAAGAAACAAAAACAGTCTTAGCCTTGCTCTGTGTGTGTGATGAGGAGAGATCAGCGAGTCCTCAGAGCAGAGTGGGACAGGTATGGGTGTGAGAAGATGGGGTCCCTCCACACCCCAAAGGGGTGCCAGAAGGAGGGAGAGCTCTGCTACTGCCGTTTTGTCATGCTCTGCCCTTTTCTCCAGCAAAAGCTTGGTCCCCCAGTGAGATCAAGTCAACAAGGGAACGGTAGATGGGTGAGGGAGCAGGAAGATGCTCCCTGTTCACCTGAAACCTTGCTTACCTGTTGTGTGAAGCATTTAATGATATCTGATACTGACCTTGTGAAAGATTTAGAGGGTGTCATCCCATTGCCACTGGTACAGCAGGTTTCCACCTTCCTGGGTAATGTATAGAGGAGGTATGTAGATGTGTAATACGATGGTAGCGGGAGAGAGACCTGAAGGTATCTCAGATGCACTTTGTGGGTCTCCCACCAGCTTTACTTTTGTGCTGGCATGTCTCCTCTGGAGTTGGGATTTGAGGGAGGCAGACGGTCCATCTTTTCTGATTAAAATGCAGGAGAGGCTGAGTTGTTCTGCTGGTTTACAGTGTGCCGTCAATGAGGCGATGAATTCCTAATATAGACGAAGAGAACCTCTCTCTTCTCTGTGTTTATACGGTGTGTGACTTCAGCGCAGGCTGCACTTCTGCTTCCCTCCCTTAATCAGCACATCAGGATTGTTTGCATTTTGGTTCTCCCTGGCTTACGGTGGAGGGCCCAATTTTCTAAGGCAAGTGTCTAAATTTAGGCACTTGAAGGCATACAGTTTTGGCTCTGAGCCTGAGGCTTAAAGTTACCCACTTCAATATTGGCATAAAGTCCTGGCCGTAAGAAACATATGCAACAAATTGAACTCATTTGAAACAAGTGTTAATATTCACCCATAAAGCTAAAAGGTCAAGCACTGACAAAATAAAAATCTGTGTTTATTGCAGTCGAACTGCTAGTTCGCCAACAGCCTCTGTCTTTCTTCAGGATTAAAAATACCTGCTTTTTTGTATGCTTAAAGGTTGAGATTTATGTATCTTTGAAAGCAAACCTAAATTTTGTCTGAATGGGAAAAATCTTTGAGGAACAGGATGTTGAAGGTAACAGTGACAACAGCTTATAACTTTTCTTGAAAGATGATTTGGAATAAAAATTAGAGCGACTATTTCAAAATATTGGGAGTTTTCTGGAAGGTGAAGTCGTCGTTGAATTCATCCATTCCTGAGCTTCAATCAGTGGTCTGGGTGACCCAGGGAGAGCTGCTGTACAAACCAGTGTGTTTACAGTTGTAACACAAACCTGTGTATATTTAAGCTTGTTCTGGATTTTATGTGCAAGTTTTTTTACTGACTTTTCAAGTAGAGCCTGCTGAAAGGATAAAAACAGTTTCTGATTAAGAAATTGGCTGATACTGCATGTTCTCTGTTTTTGGGTAGAAAATGCAAATTAACCACAGAGAATTACATGTGGACTCTTGAAAAAGACCAGCCATATTTAGTATTAAATAAAAAGACCACTTACAATGAAATAATGTCTTTTTCCAGTGTTCTTCTGTTTACCATGTTTAGCATACTAATTATCTTGAAAATCAGTTTGATTTATCATAGTGGGATAATTGAGATTGCAAACATCTTATCTTTGCCATTGGATTTACATTTGGTTGTAACCAATAGCTCAATTTTAGTCAAGGATGACTCAGAACATCTTGAAAATCTCTGCAGAACATGAATATTTGACTGTTATTTTAGACAGAGATATCATTGAATGAAACTTTTCCTTTTTTTTTGTCTTAACTTGAGAAATACAGTGCTCGAACTAGAAAAAATCTTCAACATTTCATTGGATTGCTGGAAGTATATTATAATGTTTAAAATAGTCATAATATTTGGAGTAATCAACTATATTTCTTTAAAAAGATTCATATACTGGTCAAACTCTGTAAATAGCACATACACAAATTCAGGTTTTAATTTCCATGTTGAAGACAACGTTTATGTTCAAGCAGAAACATCTGTGTGGTTTATGTTGATACTTTATCACCAAACTCGGAAACAATCCATTGTATTAATCCTCAGAGAAGACAAATCTCTTCTGTGGAGCTGGTTTTACATATAATCATCACAAATAATGCTTTGAAAATAACGAGGTATCCTTATCACCCATTACGACCTCCTGGCTATTGCAGTTGTGAAGGTCTCTTAGGTAGTGCAAGTTCTGGGCACCCTGTGCTGGTGGCCCCAGTGGCAGAGAGATGGGAAGGGGCAGTGTTAGCAGGTGCTTGTCCTTCACTTTGCCAACCATGGGTCCTTCCAGATTACAGGTGTTCAAGGCCAGGTTTTGTGTTTAGGACTCCACAGCTCTTAGAAACTGTATGTGGACCACAATTAGCCCTGGAGTCTCTGCCTATGGGGACAGATTAGTTGTCCCTGTGGTTTTCCCCTGATCTTTCTTCTTAAGTACCTTTGAATGCTCCTGACTGTGTCCTTCACCTTCATGAGGACCAGCTCCTGACACCACCAAGCTGAGTTTTGCCTTTTTTCTATTCCTTAGCTGCAGCAGCTCACATTTGTTTACAGTGCTAACAAGCTCCATAAAGCTGGATATGGGAAGTATAAGCAACCCTACTGAACGTTGTGGTTATTTCTGTGCTGTCTGGTTGGCCCCCAAGCTGCTGGGCTGTAGCCTGTAAGCATGGCTCAGGTACAGCTACCTCATGTTTTTTGGGAGGCTCCAGGTTCCCACGTGCCCAAACACTCCCAGTTGGATGGCACATCTTGGCCGGGGTGTCCACAAGGAGGTTGCATGGCCAAGAAGCAAGTGGGAAATTCTGCTGTGCTGACAGCTCTTCTGGTATTTGCACGTAGTCCTAATTGATTGGGCTGTTCACTTGGGGAAATAAGCATGTGTATCTGCAGAGTTCAACAGTTTTTTTAGGGCACTGAGGAGACAGGCAATAGGAGAGTAACAGTAAGGAGATCCAGAGTTATGTTACAGAAGCATTGCTGGATTCTAGCGTTGTGTTGTACAGGGCTTAAATTTGGTCTTTGCCTGAAAGCAAGCCCAGTGGACTGCAGAAGCTGGTATTTCCTGGTGGCATGATTTCTTCTGAATGACAATTTGCATCGCTGCAGGATGGGGAGACATAAAGTAAGGCTTTGTGCGGACTTAGCAATTAAAAATTCCAGTGCAAGTTACTATGGGGTTGTTTTGAACCCAGGCAATTGTCTTATGCCTGAGTTCCTCCTTCAGTTTTAATTGGATGTTTTCCACTTGTTGCTAATACAGTGATGCCTTTTAAAGGGATAAAGACGTTCAGTAAGAAAGTTGGGAATGATTTGTATTACAAGACACGTAACTGTTGTTCCTGTCTTTGTTTTAGTCCGCTGATGATAATTACACAGAAGATCACAACACTTGCATGCCAGTTACATGATGGTAAGAAAAGGAACCTCTTCCCATGTCCTGAAGACAACTTTTTTATTCGAGCACATTCTGTGTTTGAGTTACAGAGTGGATGAATGTAGTTCAGCGAGTTGCTCCGAATGAAGAAGAAAAATGCTTTGTGGAGGAAAATGAGAGAAACTTCAAGTTTTGAGCAGTTATCTAGGATCCAACTGTTTTTGCAGTAATGAAGACGACTGTTTTTCCCTTTGGGGGCTCTGCTTTCTTGGGGCCCAGTTTGGATTTTAGCTAGTACGGTATCCACTGTTCATATGCTACAGTGCATTTCCATTAAGCTTTTTGAAGCTGTTCTTGATTCTAAAAGATCAAGAATTGTATTTGATACATTAATGTCGTTCATGCAGTTAATGTCGGTGCAGCAAAACCATGCTGCCACTGATATATTCAGAGATAATATACCCCATCAGTTGTGAGAGATGGAATTCAATAGCTTTTTCTCAGTGCAGGGAGAAGCACAGTAGCAAGCAAAATAGCATTGTCTTCAGTCTTGTGCTGTGCTGTGACAAAGGACACTATTATTTCCCAGTAAAATGCCTGTGTTTAGTACAGGGCAAAGGCTAGAAATGTCAGTTGTCATCAGATCAGTACTGTTACTGCTCACGTCTCCTGATGTTGCAGCGTGAACTTCTGATGGTCGGAGGCCCATTGCATGACAAGCTGTGGGTGACTGAGTAGCCTGCTATGGAGCTATTATGATCTAGGATTTAGGTGGTGGCCACACCACACTGCAGAGTGCAGGGACTAGCACTGCTCACAAGCCAAGTTTACACAAGTGGGTCTAATGCTTTTAGCTATAATGGGTGCAGCTTGAAGCTCTGCTAATTGACCTTGTCATCGACATTCATGTTGCTGGGGCTCCTCTGCTTCTGTCATTTAAGCTGACCAGCTCAGGTATCGCTGGGTGCCACACTGGTGTGCAGCCTTAGATGCACACCTAGAATATTGAAGGTAAATAAACAGACAGAAGGGAAAAGATAACAGCAGAGGCAGGAGCATTATAAGCAAACCAGAAATCCTACGGATTAATGATGCTGGAAAAGGCTCATTACACTGTGGACACCCATATATGGAGCAGTTCATATAGAGGCAGCTTGCAGTTCAGGCATCAGTGACAAAGCTCTATTTGTAAAAATTTAACGCAGCTGCCCATAAATGGGAACAGACAAAGAAAATACCCAGCCCTTTAAGTAATTAAGAGCTTAATTGTTTCCCTGGAACTCACGCCCTCCCAGTATTTACAAACTGAAATAGCAGAGAGAGAATGGAAATGAACAGCTTATCAGCAGTCCTTTCAGGAAATGCATCTTGTGTATGTGTATCGGTAATTATGGCCAGTATGTTTAGAACAGTAGTGTTAATTGATGCCAAGCCCCTGATGTTGTGAAGATGTATATATGCACGCTCAGCATCATGTGCTGTGACTCATCCCGTGGTGAGTTGTTCTGCTGGAGCCAGTGGGATTCCTCACAGTAAGTGCAGCTAGAGCTTCAGAGTGAAGGTTTTGAGATATTTGCTACGAACAACATCTGTTTACGCGCTGGCCCTTGTACAAGAGTTTTTCATAGTTCTCCTGGGACGGCGAGTCTGGGCTCTACCTCTGGCCACAAAGGTCTCGTGCGCTCAACAGGAGGTTGCCCTTCCAGTCTGGACCTCGTACAATCCCAGATTATTACTGGTGTGTGTGTGTTTAAGCTTGCTCCAGCAGCAGGCAGCCAGGCTGCTCGTTCACACCACTGGAGCTTCTGTTTCCTGAGAGCCCGTTTCTCTTCCACTGCCCACTCCTCCTGCTGTGAAATGCTCCATTTCTCACCAAGGAGCCAGCGGGAGGCTCGTGCTTAAATGAGCCAGCGGCTTCTGGGAACAGAGGTTTTTTCCAGCCCAGGACTGTTAGCAGAAGCTGCTGGGGGTCGCTGCCAGTTGGTGGCATTGCCAGTTGCATTGTGTGTGTGGGAATACCGTGGCTTGCTCTTCCTGAGTGTAGCAAGGGCGAGGAAGAGGGAATGAGGTAGAGGTGGGGTGGAACATGACCTAGAAGTTGGGAATTGAGCTGTATTACAACTCAAAGAAATCTTGATGTGACAAAGAAATCTTGAAGCACATGGCTTTAGGAAGATGTCTGTGGGGTGCAAACATAAGGCTTTAAGGGTGGCTTTCACTGCTTGGCTTTTGGAAAGATCTAACCTGACTTTTCTTTCTTTCTAGGAATAGGGCGACAAGCCGAGGAACTCACTGCTGAGCAAAATCGGCTTGCTGTAAAGTAAGAATTTAATTCCCCTGGTTGTCTGTATTTAATTTCATCCAAAGAAGTTTAAGGTTTCAGTTTATGTTGGTTCTTTTTTTCTTTTTTCCCTTTACAATGTGAGGACCAGCTCAGTGGCCCAGCCATGACAATTCCTGCTTCTTCCCAGTCCGTGATAAGCCAAATGTCCTACCTGCTTTTTCTCTTTGCTTGAGCAATTTTGTTTCTGTAACGCTGTTGTCAATGCCCTTCTTAAGCAAACGTAGCTTCTTTGCTATGTTCCTTATTTCTTCAGTCTGGGCCTTCACCTCTATCACCCTTGCATGGGTCAGTAAAGCACTGAAGTACTTGGCAACATCTCACAAATATAAACTCCACATGCAACAAAATTAGTCTTTGCTGAATCAACTCCTTTATATTCAGGCTAAGACTGTACTATATGGGCTTTTTGGCTATTCTCTTCATCCTCTCTGTGATATGTTATTTTTGCATGTAGAACACTCCTTTGTCAGCGTGTCACTCTATAGTAAAAATCCATTTTGGTTTGATTCTGACACTTCGAGTACTGATTTTCTTTGCCATAATTTTTGGACACTGGATTTTTATTTTTCCTACCTCCGTCTGAAATATTAATGCTCCTAGTCCTTCATGTTATGTGACTAGTCTTCTAATTTTTCAGAGGGAGAGAGCATATTAATCATATGTTTGACTGCACTGGGTTTTTTTCTGTTTTATCTCTCAGTACAAGTGCAGGATGCAGGTGAATTCTTTTACTTTTTTTAAATAAGAATTAGTGTTACAGAATTAGCCATAGAACCATAACTGCTTTTCACCATGAAGTCTTTGCTTAAGGACAAGGAAATTGTTTCCTTCATTTCCAAGGCAGATGAGTCAGCCATCAGAAAATCTGCCTATGACCTTCTAAAAGTAAGAAGGGAGTAATTTCTTGAGAAGCAAAAATCCTGTAGAAAGACTCGTGTAACTTTTGTTGTGACCCATGGCTTTGTGTCTATTTTTAAAGCTCACAGCATAAAGTTTAACTGCACTGGGCCCTTGTGACCATATGATTAATTCTAGTCAAATTCTCACCAAACGGGCTTTTTTTTTTTTTTCCCTTGTACAGTAGATGAGCTCATAATGGAAAAATACGTGCCAATAGCTCAAGTGTCGGTGGCAGACAAGTCATAACTGAAGAGCTTTAAATCCCCTTTGGTAATACAGCCTTTTGTCTTCCCTCCTGTTCTTGGTTTGTTTTTGTTTCTCACTCATCCTCTGTGCATTCCTTCGTGCATTGCTCATGTCTCCCCACCCACCAGTGTGCAGAATCTAAGTTGAAACTAATTACTTTAATCTTACAGTAAAGCTCAGAAGTCCAGATCATGGACACAGTTTTGCAGAGCAGAAAGATGAGCCTTATCCCAAATTGTTTGCTGCATCTTTCTGTGAAATGCTTTCACCAGAGAACATATCATTCAGGCACTAACATCTACAATAACCAGCAGGATGAATGCAGAAAATCCTGGCTAAGCTAACTGTTTATTCAGACTAATTCTGCTTCAGAATAAAAGTAGGCAACAGCAAATGTTTTACTGTTGCTTAGTGTTTCTGCTGGAAATCTATGTTTTGCTCTGAAAGAATTTTAAGTGGGTTGTGGTTTATGCGTGTCCATCTGTGCCTTGGATGGGAGAGCCCTGAGGCAGTGTGCCCTGGTTTCTCTTCTCATCTGGGGGCTCCTCGTTTACTCGGATGGTGACTATTAGCACTTTCATGGAGAACATCGAGTATCTCAGTGCAGAATTTGTATGTTGATGTTTTCTGCCACATAAATAAAGCGTGCCCAACAATTTACAAATTGCACGACTGATGAGAGGCCTGTGCATCTCTTTTTTCCATCCTACTGATCTGTAGCAAGGACAGTGGATCTTCTTCGTTGAATGTGAAACCCCCAAAGGAACTTCTGGGATATGCACTTGCAAAATGGAAATAACGAACACGAAGGACTTTCTTTGACTTTCATCTTCAACTGTCTTTTGATTTATGTGTTTTTTTCCCCTTAGTTCCTTTTCCTGTTCATGATGCAATACAGGCAATTACTTCCTTTATTTGCACAGTAGGACAGAGTGCCTCTTCATTCTCTTCCTCTGTGTCTCACATCACACTTCCCATTTTTCAAAAGGCTGAACTGAAGGGTGGGCGAGAGCTCCTCTCAGGCCTGAGAGCCCAGGTCTTAAATGCTCCCTGCCCAGTGGTTTGCAGAACAAGGCAAAGTTCTGCACTGCACAGCTTGGTGAGACCAGAGCTACCCAGCTTGTGGTCTGCCAGCCGTTACTGGTCTCTGACACACAGATGTCCAAAAACACTTACCAGCTTCTCAGTCCTGGTACCTGTGGCCTGTTCAAAATGCACAAGTCAATTTGAGAGCATATTTAAATTTATGGCTGTTTTTAAGTAAAATGTTTCTAGTAATAAGATTACACCTTTTCAGATCAGTAGCATTCATTCACCTGTAGCTTAAGCACTTCCACGTTACCCTTGTTCTGACTGCCATCTGCCAGACATCACTGGGATATGAGAGAGGCTGTGCTTCAACTTCTCCAAAACAGATCTAGTGAGCTTTCAGCTGGGGAGAGGGTGGTAGGAGAGAGGTGGGGACTGAGGCAGATAGGACAACAAAAAGCATTCGTGAAAGCCTTTACCGTGTTTTACCTTGTTTTGTTTTGGTTTTGTTTTGTTTTGTTGTGTGTGGATGATTTTCACAGGACAAGACCTTCTTTACTAGAGTATTTAAGCTATCTCCTCAATTTTATGAGCATCATAGCTGGGCCTTGCAGCAATTACAAGGATTATATAGCCTTCATTGAAGGGAGGCATGTGCACATGAAACTGTTAGAAGTGAACTGGAAGCAGAAGGGTTATGACAGACTTCCTGATCCTTCTCCAACTGTAAGTTTTAAAATGACAAAGATTTATTGCAAAGGGCAGGAGAGTACAGCTTTGTACATGATTCTCATAATTAAAAAATAAGAAGAAAATCCATTTTTGGATTATCTTCCCAGTAATCGTTACAGTGGGTTTTTTTTTTTTTCTGTGAAGTGGCTGCTGTTTTTATCACAAGGTCAGGGGTGAAGGGGCTGGTGTCTTCCTCTTGAATTCCCCAAATGAGTTTGGCTTGCAAAATGGGTCATTGGTTAACGGGGGTTCTTTGTGCAGCGATGGGAACGGTCCGCAGGTTCTGACAACAAGGAGTGGCAGTTCAGCTCTACACAGAAGAGGAAATGTCAGGAAAAAAAAAAAAAGTCAAATCTCACCCATAGTGCAGGAGATGGTACAAGTACATGAATCATGGCTAATCAGAAACTGCAGCTTGTCCAGGTGCTTTGAAAGAGAATCTCACACTTTAAGAAGACCTGGAGGTCATTTTTCACATACTATTAACGCTAATTTTATTTTATATATTTTTAATATTACCTAAAACCTTCTTATGAAATTACCTTATTGTAAGGCAGGATAACACAGCATGAGAACCAGATTTTTCTCTCTTGTCTTAAGGTGACACTGAATGTGTCTTAAGCTTTGTGAAGGTGTGCAGAATGTCTCCTCTGAAGCTGAGTATGTGCCAATGCATATCTGATCCCCGTTGCACACACTTGCATTTCTACTGACTTCAGTGGCATTACTTCTGATTTACATTAGTCTGACTGAGGTCAGAATAAGGCCTTTACCATGTTAGATGCTTGTCAGCAGAGAATATTAAAATTTGCATTAAAGATAATTGCGCATTAGTTGAGTTTATTCCAGAACGTGGAGAATATATAAAAAGAGTACTTGGGATCAAAAAATGCATTGTTGTTTCAATAGCATTGCACTTTTATTACTCTTGAGAACATGAGCCAATTTTTACATGGTACCCAAGTGCCAGATTTAAACTTTTTAATTATCAAGGAGAATTTACTCCTGATGCATATTTGAAATCCAGCTTCAGACTGCTGATGTGATTGTCAACAGTAGTACATAGAAAGCTAGGGACCTCTAACAGAAAACACTGTGGTGTAGCACTCTATATCATGAGAAGGTATGCATGCTGTATGAGATGTGCACTTTTTGGACAAGTGGTTTTTAGCAGGATCTCTGAATGACAGCAGGACAGTAAGACCTACTGTTGTGCTAAATCCCAGTGCTTTTGGTTTCCAGGAGGGATCCAGGCTTTAGTTCCAGGAGATGACAGTATATATAGGGAAGATTTGTGGTTTCCATGGTACGGTTTTGTTTGTTTGTTTCCTTTCTCATTTTAGGACCAGCAGTAACTGATGTAGGAGTCTTTCGTGAAGTTCATCACCAATTTTGACTTCTAATTGTACCTATCTATAGGTAGTTCAGTAAACCAAATTGAACCAAATTTTTGTGGTCTTTTCTTTGTCACCTCCTCTAAATGAATTGTTATCAACTATCATTGCTAACTTTATTGGTTCTTGAAGTGCGTTGTTTTTGTATGTCATGAGCATTATCTTTTTTTTTTTTTTTCCCTTTAGCAAATGTTTCTAATGAATGTTTCATTGTTGTTTGTGCTTTTTAGGGAGCAGTGATGTACAAGCTGTGTATCACACTAGTATCTCTCATTTTATTCTTGACACTTACCAAGACCTTTCCTATGGCATATATTATTGATAATGAATTTCTTGATAAAACACCCTTCTTGTCAAGACTTGGTTACCTGTATGTTGTAACACAGGCAGCAAAACCAAAGTATTACTTTGCATGGACATTAGGTAAGTCTGGCTACATCACTTACTTTTATGAGTAACAAATAAGTTCATAAATGGGGAGGGGGATCTAAAACATTGCGGGGGGAAGAATAAATTAGCCCCTAGACCTGTAGTTCACGAGGGAGATGTACATGTTTTCCTGTGGGCAGCGAACCCTGCTGAAGTGGGGAGAGGTCAAAAGATTTGAAAAATGTGCATGAAATACCTTCTAGCTTGTCTGACATTCCCTGCCTCTGCAGCTAAATCTGATTTTCAGCTTCTTGCCAGTAAATTCAGTGTAACAATTCCTCTAATTTTTGCAGGAATTCTTAGGAAGAAAAATTTTGCTTCCTCTAAACCCTGATTTTCATGCTTTTTTCTTAATTTGCCACTTATATCAGTGGGGTTAAGAGGTTAAAATTTGTAACGCTGGTTTAAGCTTTACAAGTATATTACAGTGCAAATAGGCCTCTCTCTTTCTTTAGGGACATCTTTAGCACATGCATCTGTATTAGAAAACTGTAGTGCTTGTTGGGGGGCTGAAGTTAGGCTTTGCCTCTAAGGCCCTGGGGGGTCCTGTTCACACATTCGCTTTGAGCAGTCCAGAGAAGAGAGTATGGAGAACCATGGGGAAGGTGAGGAACAAAGGAGGTGATGGGGAAGGACCCAAGAATCTCTGCAAGTAAAAGAAGAGGAGGAGGAAGAGGGGTCATTACAGAGAGAAGCAAACTTCTTTTAGATTGGTGGTCAAAATAATCTTCTTGTATTTTACCTTGTTCCTTTAAAGTCCCCTTTCCCATCTATGTGTGAGGAGTGAAATCCTTCTAGGCCAGGCTGTAAACTGAGAGACTGAATTTTTTGTGCTGGTGTTCCAAGACTTTGTGTGTAGGGGAGATCCTGAAAGCCCAGCCAGCAATGCATCCACCTAAAACTGAGAAGAGTGGCATTAAACGGGATGGAAAGAGCCAGGGAAATTCATTGCAAGGCTGTGATTAAACTGCTGGGAATAAAACAGAGATCGAGGGAAGACAGCCAGGACTGGCATGTGTGGGATGGGAAAGGCTTTGGGATAAAGAATTGCTTGCTCAGAAACTTATTTTTGTAGGCTCCAATGTTAAAATGTTGCCTCCATTTTTCCAGTGTTATAGTTAACTAAAAGTCCATTATCACAGAGATAAACTGAATTTTGGACTTGTGACATGACTAAGCCATAGAGGCCGTAGGAAATATCGTACAAATGAGGGGCTTTGGGAAGAGCATGGATTGCAATGCATCCTGGGGGGTGAGGCCGTTTCTGGTCACGCTGCAAATCCAGGCAGTGAACAGCAGACACTTTATCCTTTCGCTGTTGTGTTCCCAGTGGCGTGGCCCAGGGCATGACAGAAGTGCCTGCTGAAACAGCCCCGAAGCGCTTCCTGCCCTCAGAAAAGGGACAGGCAGGCTATTGTGCTTGGGCCACGCTGCTGAATTCCTCCAGAACCATGAAAAGATGGAAAATTTGGCTACATTAGCGATAATTGTGGGAACGTGGCTGCAAAAGCCCAACTCAGAGCTGTCGATGAAACCAATTTGGGACTGAGCACCAGCACCCAAGGAGCTGTGGAAGCCGTACGCTGGAGCTCTTCAAGTCGGCAGGGAAACCTCTGCTGGGTTTGGTGGAGGTTGGGGAGTTGTGAGCAGTTCAAGGGTGGACAACTGCAATTCTTCTGCACTTCACCCCTGGCTCTGCAGGCAACAGCTCGGGAAGTGAGAGGCTGATGGTTCTGTTGTATTATGACAGGCCTGGATTTCTGCTTTCTTGCTTTTGGCAAAGAAACACTAAGCGGTCCCTGCCACCTGTGGATCAAGGAGGAGCAAATCCAGGAGTCCCCCTGCTCTGGGGTGACAGTTACACGCAGCTCCACTCTCTGAGATCGGGCAGGGTCCTATGGGCCAATTTCAGGCAGGGTTGATGTTTGTTTCCTTTTATTTTTTTAAACAGGCAGAGAATTAAAAACTTGGAGACCCTTCTTTTCATCAACAAAGTCTAGCTCATTTTGTAAGGTGGAAAATAAAATGGAAAGTTTTAGGTTAGAGAAGGTTGCTCATTTATTTACTGATTGTTAGTCTTGTTGTTTTTAATTAGGCTCTCTCGCTGGGTTGGTGCATTAGGGCTTCTCCATGAGCTTGTGCCTGTACTCATAGCATTTACAAAGCAAAATCAGTTTTCATTCTTGGGAAAGAAATGCTGACCTTTTTAAAGCATAACTTAACCAGGCTTGTATTTTGTAAATCATCTAGAATGAAAAGCCTTACCTGTATTTTCGCTTTCCTTTTTTCAACCCCTAATCCTCGGTGTTGGCTACACCTAGTGATCCAGAGATAACGAATCCCTTCTGTTTTCTGAGCTCTCCAAGAGAGGATTTCTGGCAGGAACACATTAGAAGCTGAATCTTGAAACTCAGTGATGAGGTGTCTCCCAGGCAAGGCTGAGAAGGGGAGGTAGTTGACTGGGAAAGAGCAGGAGTGCAGCATGTAGAATGTCTACTGTTACCCAAGCTTTTATTTGTACTTAAAGTAGTTAACTTTGTAATTGAAGTTACTTAATATTTGATTCGTAGAGATCATGGGGTACTTTAGCGAGGCATTGAGAAACAGGATTAGCAAAAGGCTTTGTTTGTGGAAGTCTGAATGAAAGTCTTAATTAAAACAGCCATGTTGGAACTCTTAATAAAAATGGTAAGCATGTCTTTGAGACACTAGTTTTTCTGAATTCTGGAAAATGCTGTGACATCCAAGTACCCTTTTGAGGAAAATGCTCATTCGTTTTATGGCAACTCCTATCTGTCTATCTCAGATGGATAATAAAGGCAAAATAATAGGAAAAGTGATTTCTAGCCATTGTTATTTTATTATTTTATTTCTTCTGCCCAATGAGTCGTTAGTCTTTCCTCTTGAGGAAATTACTCTCATGTTGCCTTATAGCAAGAGTAAGCCTCTCTTTGAAAGAGACGATGCTAATTGCTACAAAGCTGGCTTGAATGTGTGTTTAGTGTCATACTGACTGGTAAGAAAACAGTTCCTCCAGCAGCCTGATTTGACTTGTTTTGCATTGACATTGCAGCAGATGCAGTCAACAATGCAGCTGGTTATGGATTCAGTGGAGTTGATGAAAGGGGCACTTTCCGCTGGGACCTGTTGTCCAATTTGAATATCTGGAAGATTGAGGTGAGTTAAAAGAGTGGCTGTGTTGGCACAGTTATAGAGAAATGGGCACGATAACGGGGAGAAGCTTTGCTGGAAGGAAAATAAGTCCATGACACCAGGCTGCCCCTCTTTAACATGAAGAAGTTATGTATTTCATCTGTTGGGCAGATAAAAAGCATCTGTCACACAGGCTTCATCGCTCTCAGTATTCAGGTTGCATTTCTAAATAGTTTATAGAGGGCTAATAAATGATTAATCAGATGTTTAATAAATGAGCAGTCAATTACTGTAGATAGCGGCTGAGTTCAGCGGGTCAGTAAATTGCTCGCAGCTACGATTCTCCACCATCTGTGGTGTACTCTGTTTCCTTCTAAGTGTCTTCCACTCTTGTAACCCAGTTGAGGTGGGTGGTGGTAGTGGAAGAGGCTGCCACAAGTAGGCATTGCACAAGCACTTGCAAGGAAAACAAGGTTTGGAGAGATAACAGGTAGAAGAGTCAACGTGAATGGGAACTGGAAGGGCCACGTAGAGTTTAGGTGGCTGCTGATCTAGAGCTTCATCCAGCAAACCACACTGCTTCTCAAAACATGTCACACGTTTCTTGTGACTGTAGTATACTCTAACAGCCATTAGTCTTTTGTAAGCTATTTATGTTTGTTTCTCTAATGCAAAAGATGGCCAAAGTAATTTGTTTGCCCTGAAGTATATTTTTGTGAATGCCAGTGAGATGTGATAATGTTTGAGTCTGATACTGCTTTCTAAAGGCTTTTTTTTTCTTTAGAAATAGGAGGAGCTTCCCCCCTGTAATTCTGTAGTTATGATTTTAAAAGGAAAAGCAGATGAAAATAAGTTGACTGCTTTATTGCTGAATGATCTGTGACTAAGTGAATGTGCTGTAATAGCTCTTCTCAGAAATGAAAGAGCCCCTGTAATTCTTCATTGAAAGATGCCAAAACTGGAAGTGTCATTACACAGTCTCTCTTTCTCAACATCCTTCCTCTGTCTTTTTTTTTTTTTTAAAAAAAAAAAACCCAAACCTTAATTAATCCTCAGTGTACATCTTTCCTTGACTGAGGCAGAATACACAGCCCAGAAATGCTTTACACTCCTTGATCTCCTTGATGATGGCAGCACCCTAGACACCACTCTGAGATCTTGAATCAAGATCTGATTCAGTTTCGGGGGCAGGAAATGATTCCTTGATGGGCTGAGGCAGTTTCTGCTTGAAGGAGGAGAGTGAAGTGCAGGCGATGCTCTTTAGTCGAGCCAAAGTAAGGAAACATGAGCCTTTGCTCCTCTCTACTCACTGAACTGTAAGCCCCTCAAAACTTTTTTCCTTTCCTGGTCACACGGGCAATAGAGATCAGGGTGGAGAAATTATTTCCAAGAGCAAAACCAGAGTGCTTTCCATTGATTTAATCATGTGTGCAATGATCGAAAGAAAGACTACAGAGACCATTGCTTTGGGTATGTCTTGAGCTGTCACTTCATGCACCAACAACAATTCCAGGAGCTGAAGTGTGATTGTACAGTGCAGTTTTCAGCAGGTATAGCCACCTGCATATGTCAAATTGCTTAAGAGTTGGGAACTTGAGTGCTAAATGTGGCTAAGAAATTACCTGATACGTAGTAAAGATAAGCACATGGCAAGGGTTGTGAGGGCATTAAAATGTGATGGGGCTAAACCCATGTGGGGGACTTGAAAGCCTTGGCACTGTGCATATTTTGACAGCTAGTGACTACTGTCTGTCTTGGTAATGTAATAGAGGAACTTAAAGGAGGCCAAAAGAGAGTGACAATATTAGTTGGAAGAGAAATGATATTTTTCTTGGCTTCTCTTGGTGCAGTAATGCAATTAGGATGTGGCAGTACTGCACTGGGAATTGCTAATCCTTTTCACTCTTTAAACACAGAGGGTGAAGTGTGAGCCTTCAGGACTGTGCGTGGAAGTGTCAAAATATCTGCATTGTCCCCTTGGAAACCTTTGTCTTTAATCCATCTTTTCAGTGTGCCCTTGCATTCAGCTGATATGGGGAAATAATGTGGTGTCACAGAATCATGTCCTTGCTTGGTGAGGAGGTCCTCAGAAGTTTCTTTCAGCGGGCAAGGAACAAGAGGGAGTGGGAACGGGGAACTACCAGAGGTGAAGTTGACCAGGATTAGAGGAACTGCTCATAGAATGGTCCGGGCTGGAAGGGACCCCCAAAGGTCTTCTAGTCTGACCTAACAGAGTCCAGCAGTCCCCCAGAGCTGGGGGAGCTGGTGCTGTGAGAAGGTACAGGTGGTTCTCCCAGACCCTGGAGTCCACTCTGGTTTCTCTAATGGGCAGTGGCTGAGAAATGGCTTCTAAATTAGTCCTAAATTAATTTTTTTTTTGTCCATGTTTTTCAGTCTTCCCCTTTCCTTCTCCAAATTGTAATGCATTTCTTTTAGTTTTCACAACACTTTGTTTTAATAGCACTCTAGGGAAGTCCAGACGACGTAATTGGTGGCAAGATATCTCTTCCAAAGATGAAGCTGTTTATGAACTGAAGGGAAGGCCAAGCATTTAGAACAAGAAAGCTTTCCAGATTTCCTGTAACTTGAAAAGTAACCAAATGTTGTATTTAATTTTACAAAACAAAGTGAGATTTTACAGCAAGTGCCAAGCATTAGTGGTGAGCAATCAGCCTAGTTAAAGTTTATCCCAAAACATCTTAGTGTAACGATGGACTGTGGCACAGTCTTCACAACAGTTATCCGCTAGAATTAATATTTTTCTATGTATCTCCACTTTAATTTAAAATGTAAATGTTATTCTATAGGTTTCAGTGTTAACATTTCATGTGAACTTCTTTCTTAGACTGCGACAAGTTTTAAAATGTACATTGAAAACTGGAACATTCAGACAGCTGCTTGGCTAAAACGGTAAGAATAATGAAAACAGTATCGTGCTTGTGAGACCCAAAAACTCTAGATGGCCTGGAAAAACACTGACTGGTGAATCTCACAAATGTATAGCCTCTTGTCTGTCTCTGTTTCCTATGTCTTTAACAGTTGGTGGAATGCAAGGGTATTTGGTGCTGTAAAAGTTTTATTGCTGCAAATGTAAAATGCCCGCATTTTATATACGAGCAGCAAAGCCATAAACGAACTGTTCAGATCTTCCATAATAAAAAGTAATAGCCTTTTCATGGCATCTTTTAGGCTGCTCTTTGCCTCCGTTATTCTTGCTGCACTGTTTCACTTTGCTGTGTTACGTTTCCCTCGTGTACTATTTCTGGAGGTGAGCCTTGTGTCACTGGGATCCAGTTCAGCTCGGACTGGATGGAAGTAGAAACCTTCAGAACCCCGTTGTAGTCTGGTTTGGAGCTACCAGAAGATGCTTGCTAGAAAGTCCCTGTTCAGGACATGGAGAAGAGACTTCTTAGAGCATTGGGAAGATCTGATTTTAACCCATGACTGTTAAGGCACTTACAAATACTAGCATAAGCCCAAGTTTCCTAGATTAAACTGTCTCCTGTAACTTGTCACACTTTTGGCATGGTTAAAGCTCAGCGTGCAGTCAGTGTGAGGTCTGAAACGCAGGAACAGAGTTGTTGTGAATGTCAAAGCTATTTTTATTGTTAAATATATACATCTGAAAAGTCAGTGTCTACTATTTTTCATTATTCAAATGATGTTCCTGATAAGAAGTGCTTTATCTTGACTCATTTCTTTGGAACACAGCATTTCAGTTAAACCGCAGATAGCTGTATAGACCCGTTGGTGAATTCCTGACCTGGTCACTTGTGTCTTTGGAGTAAGATTTTTGGACTGCTAAAGTTAGCAGGAATCCCCTGTTTTGCAACAGCTTACGACATTCCCTGTTGTTCCCAGCATCTGCCAGTTAACAGCGTCTAAAAATACCTCTGTTTGCCAGTGGAGGGTGGGGTCACCTCTCTGTCCTTCGGCTTGCTTTTTAATCTGCCATCGGAGTTTTGAAGGGTGTAGTGTGTGATTCCACACCGAGGTATAAAGGTGACAGAGAAGTCTTGCCTGCCCTTTGCCCCAGCATTGATTTAAATGCTATGAGCACATGGAGTATGTGTACGGGTGCTCTTTGGATACATGGTGCATAAAAGCACACTTCCTCTCTCCATCTCCTGCTCCGTGTCAGTGAAGGGAGAGTGCCTCATGTCCTCATCTGTAACTGAGGAAAGATAAGACTGTTTAGAAAACAGAATAAGACCTTAAAAACAGAGAAGGATTTGAGTTGCGGTGTCCATTAGCCCATTGTATTCAGCTACTTCTTGTTTTGTTTTTGTCTTGGCAGTGTTTGCTATGACCGAGCTCCCTGGTACCCTACGGCTTTAACGTTTATCCTGTCAGCCCTGTGGCATGGGATCTATCCTGGATATTATTTTACATTTCTCACTGGAATCCTTATCACACTCGCAGCCAGAGCAGTATGTACCTTTCATTGTTCTCTTCTAAGGTCCATGCTAGATATTACCCAGCTGTCAACTGCAGGGACCACCCTGACATGGTCAAGCAGCTTGTCCTTTGTGGGCTTGATGTTCACTGAAACTTTGTTCTGTATTGATGCTAATTATAAAATACCCCCAGCAGTTATAACCAGCACCAATTCTGCATGTGCTGCAGTGCTGTCCTTGGCTGGCAGAGGGAATGTTGCCTGTGAGTGTGCAGTTGGTAGTGCCACAAATGCTGTCCATGTGGTCAGACTAGCTTGGGATCCAAGGCTAAGCTTGAGTCCAGTCTTCTGCTAGGTCACGTTGCCTTATGTGCTGGCATGTAATTGGCTCTGGGTGCAATCTTTCACCAGAAGCTGTTATGGGCTGAGCCTTAGCCTAAACTTGAACTCTTTCAGGGGAATGCAATTGATGGAGTAAACTGGTCTCTGTGTGTATGGCCTAGTCTTGTCCAGAGTCACCAAAGGTGGAACAGGTTTCATGTCTCACTGTTAAATTCATCACTGCTGAACCAGGCAGTTGTGCAGAACTGGAGAGCACCACCATTGTTGTTCAGAGTTTGACTATGGCTAAATAACCAGGTCAATTTGAAAGGTGAATTAAACTAGTGATTAGTATTAACCCGTATGGCTAGAGCAGGGTGCTGAACGTGCAATCTCGGCATGTGCTTTGTCTGTCATTTGTGAGGATTTCATAGATGTGAAGCTAAACCAAAATCTCTAGGAACAGCACATACTTGCAGGTATAAACACATATTTGTTCATTTAAAGTAACTTTGTTTCACCATTGGTTACCAGTAAAAAATCAAACCAGGAGAGAGGGACATCAAATCATAACAACTCCCCTCCCCAAAGATATTGTGCCACATATGAGCATGAGAGTCTGCTCTCTGTCATAATCACAGAGGAAATTAGGGGACACTTCTCTGTTTGCCACTGGTTGACTGTGGGATCTTGGATATACCAGTCAATACATTTCTGTCTTCCTACTCTCAGTGCTTTCTAACTGGTGTATAAACTTCTCTGTGATACTAGCGCTGAGGATAAGGGGAGAGTCGTACGCTGTAATGTGTCTGCGTGACTTTAGCGAAGAAATGGATTTGTATAATATTCTGTTTATTTTTCCCTGACCTGCAGATAAGAAACAATTGCAGACATTACTTCCTCTCGTCAGTGCCTCTCAAGATAGCCTACGACATTGTCACCTGGGTTGTCACTCAACTGGCAGTGTGCTATACCGTTGCACCGTTTGTGATGCTGGCTGTTGAGCCCACCATTAAATTTTACAAGTAAGTTCTCTTCTCTTGACTGTTACTCTCCAGGCCGGCACAGGCTTTTATAAAATAACCCAAACCACACTGAAAAGCAGTTGGCATTTCATCAAATTTGAAAGGAGTTCAAACAGGATGTTTAATAATGTGTAAGGAGTGTTTTTTGCACTCCTGTGACTTAATGAGATGATAATAATCATAATGCCAAGGCAGAGCACTTCACTTCTACTTCTCAGTCTTTCTGTCTCGTTATGTGACTTTTCATGTATTCAGTTTCCTCTTTTCAAAGCAGTCAAGTCTCAACCACTGACAGTGGCCAAGGCTGGAGAGGTTAAGAATAATGCGAGTTGGCAGTAGGAAGGACTCAATGAATTAAGACCATGTTTCCAGCTGCCAAATGTATAGAACAGGAGATGTGATCGGTCAGCAGGAGATAAGGAGGGTGCCTGGCAGAGCATTACTTCTTGAAATGAGGATGCTTTTCTTCTGAATACTTCCATAGGAAGTAAATACTTCCCTAGATTCTTTGAAGATAAGAAAACACCGGTGCTGTAGAGTATATTGGATATACTTTAATAAAAAAAAAAATAAATAGAGAAGTTAAGAAAATAATTTGAAAAGGGAGACTGGACTACATTGCTTTACTTTTCTTTCCTTCTACAGTGAACTGTCAATATAGAGTAACAGGGTTTTGGTTAAGAAAAAGGACGATTCCCTCTAGCACAAGACATAAAACTGGTAGTCAAGATAGCTGCTGTCAGAAGACTGTTTGAAGGGGTTTGAATTTTGACATTTTCTATCCGTGTTTCTTAAAACTTTTGCTTTCAACACAAAAAACTTACCATATAAAAATGACTCCAAATCATTCTTAAGTTTGGTAAAAAGCTTTCCCATGTACCTTGTTGATATCTTATTTTTTTTGTCTTTCAAGACAAAGGTAGCAAACAGCAGTCAGAGCAAAAAAGGAGATAAAAGACTTAAAATACTAAACTGGCTTATAAATTTGCCCTCTAAGTGAAGTTGTTTTCCTCTGTGCTACAAAAGGCCATTCCATGTAGTAAATATTAAAGTAATTCTGTGAAATTATGTTGCTAACATCAAAACTTAAGAAATAAATATATAGAAGTAACTTGCTAGTGTTATGCCAGCATCCACAAAGGCAGAAATGTTATATTTACCAAAGTTCTGAAGAAAGAAAATGATTTTCCACCCTTGCTCCAAGTTGGGTTATCACCTTAATGTTGTTTGCCCTAGTGACTTTGAACATAGTTAACACTTTAATGTTAGAGACTGTTAAGGAAGGAGATTTGGAGCTCTGTACACCTAGCAGTGACCTTAAGCACCTTACAAGGATATCAGAATTATGGTAAGAAGCATAAATGGGACCACAGACAGGTGCATCCCTGTGGTTAAGAGCTGAACCATTCTGCTCCCAAACGTCGTCCTTCCCAAGCTACCAGAGCCCCAAGTAATTGGTTTAAGTATTTTTTTTTAATTTCTGTTCAGTCTTGTGTGTACTGAATTATTTGAAATAAAAATATTTGGTATTTAATAAGATCTCAAATTAAGGTGTCTCTGAGTGGTTGCCTTCAGAAACACATAGAACACAGTTGCCTTCTGTAAACATGATTACCTGACCTTCCCCAGTTAAAAGTTGAGTGTTTTGATTTATTTCAGATCTCAGCACTTGGACTGATTTATTTTTTTCTTTCTGTCACTTTTTATTTTGTTTTTTTTTTTTTTAAAAAAAGAACAACTTGTACAAGTTTTATGTCCTAAGCATGAAGTGTGTTTCTTCAGAAAGTAGCCTCATATACTGTAACATTAGAAGAGAAAAGGGCTGAAGAAACACGTGTAATTCAACCCCCGATTTAGCTGAGCTGTTAGACTTTGGATTCTGGAGTTTGCTGATTGATTCCTTGCCTCATTAACATCCACGGCAACGTTTTCATGGATGCTAGAGGATACCATATGCATAGGCTGTGTGGAATTCAAGGGTGTGTTTTCACGCTTCCTAGGTCAGATTCATACTTTCTGCATTTGTCCCTTATCGCTCAGTTCTGCGTGAGCTTACCAAAGTTGCATAATTCATGCTGTCACTGACAAAAATATAACGTTCTCTTTCTGCTTGTGTTCCCAGGTCTATGTATTTTCACATGCACGTTCTAAGCATCCTGGTGTTGCTCGTGCTACCCATCAGACCTCAAGCCCGCTCCATAAGGAAGCCTCAGAACCAGACCACGCAGAACTCTGTTAAAAGCAAAGACAAATGACACCTCCAAAGAAAATTGCTGACAATGGGTAATCAAACTGTCATATTGGAAACAAACAAAGAAGAAGAAAAACGGGTGGGATGAGGGTTGAAGTAGAAGACAAGTGGTGTTTCTATTGGTTATCTTAAAACCTTACTGGAAAGGGCAGAGAAGAGCCTGAATGACTGTATTTCAAATTATTCCAGTTACGAGAGATTTTACAGGCAACGTTTACAGGCTCATGGGGCATTTTGATTTTTTTTTAGTAAATATTTTTATGAAGTGTTTTTATATATTTAAAGTTTTTCACACGGAGAGGAATTTTTGCTCTTTTACAGAAATATGCATTTATTAATCAGTGATCTCGCAATTAGAGGGACAGGAAGCAGCTAGCAAAGGGTTAGACCAGCTGCCTGATAGCCTGGTGCTGTGGGCAGCTGGCCCAGGAAGCTTTTCATCTCCTGGCTCTGGAGGGAGATGATGCAACTAGAAAACTAGGGACATGGGGTTACTCAAGGTGCTGGTGCTGACTTCTGCCCCGGCAGGGAGGAGAGGGAGAGGGGCTTTCTCCAGCCATCCCCAGAGCAGGGACTGCAGCCTGAGCTCGGCAGCAAGGGCATTCCACATCCCTTCCATGTCACACCTGCTGGTAATGAGGGCAAGACAAGTCCCTTGGGAATAGGTATCTGGGAGCACTGGCAACTGGCTGGGCCAAAATCTAAAGCCAAGTTAAAAAAAAAAAATAAAAAAACCAACAAACCAAAACCCTTTAGAGTAAAAGAAGGGGCATACACACTGCGTTGTGCTTCTCTAATGGTGCAGCTGGTGCTCGTTGCTACATCAGCCTTATTTTGAGGTGTTAGAGTGATGCAGCACGTCCATTTCACTGTCAAAATAACTGAGGAGCTGTGCAGGTTTAGTGTTTTAAAGCTCAGTTATAGGTTAAATCTGAAAAGGGTTTGTAAATGGATCTGTTCTACTCAAAAACATCCTGTCTTGCGGAGGAGTTACTTTCCAGTGGGATAACACTAATATGAAACCTTGAACGGTAATTATCATAGTCATAATAAGTCATTCTCTACAAAACATTGTGACACATCACGATCATCGCAGGAGTCAAGTCCAAGTCCTTGTATGATCTTGGCATGTGACTTAGCCTGTTGATTCCAATTTCCCTGCTTGTAAAGTTCTTGGCTTACAGGGACGTTTTGAGGCTTTATTTCTAAGAGCTTGTGCATTGAGATAACCCACTGCAAAGTGCTGCGTCAGTTGTTTTTTTTAATTTCATTTTTTAAAAAATCCACTTACCCCAATAAAGCAGGCTGGTATGACACATCAAAGCCAACTAAAACATTATTTTAAATTACTGGTTTCCAGGAATGTTTTTATCAGGATTTAGTAGAAGTGATTCCCTTGTTAAAGTATTGGTATTGCTTTATGATCATTTAACTGACGTGTGATTGAGCAAAGAATCTGCTGTTTACTGCATTCTGATTTTTGTGTCAGATTAAAGTTTTGCAGCATCCTAGCATTTTGGGAAGAAACAAATTGGCGAAACCAAAACAAGTTCCAAAAAAAGTTTGATTTTTTTTTTTTTTTTTTTTTTTTTTTTTTTTTTTCTTTTTCTCTGGTGGGAAGTTTTTGTCCTGTGACCAACTCCTGATTTAGAGCATAGTTCATGGAAGAGTTTATTTGGTAATTTATTTTGAAGGTGAGATGGGATTAAAAGCTTGATCTGAATAAACAAATTTGTGTCACCGCCTGGCATTATTAGTCACAAATGACTAACCTGAAAACAGGTGAGTGGTGGTGAGATCCTTCACTTGAGAGGGGAGATGCTTTGGTCTGGTGGATTTTACAGAGCAGCTGAGCTTTACACCCTGCTCCTGCTGAAACAGAGACAAGACCACCCCTGTTTGTTTTCATGGCAACTTTGTCCTTCACTCGTCCAGTCCTTATTTGTCCTCGTGTGTGTTTTCTCCTTGTGGCACCAGCCTCAGCTGCATGTTGGGCATCCAATGTTTCCCTTGAGGTCTGGCTGCACCAGCCTTGTTCCTTGTGGGGAGGAACCAGGGTGCATCCACAGGGAAGATGGGGACTCTGGTGCTGCTGGCTCTGGGATCCCGAGGGCTGAAGCCAGCCTGCATTTACCTCCCCAAAACTGGAATGAATCACCATGGATTCTGGCAGAGCCAATGTACCACGCATCAACTCCAGGCTCCAGCAAGCCTGCAGAAGGCAAATGTTTCCAGCAGGTTGGCTTTAGGCACCTACTTTGGGAAAATAAATGCACTCAAAGTGGGGTGTGGGTTTGTATCTTCTGCTCCGTGCCCTGAGGTCTGCCTGGTCTGAGGCCCTTCCTGAACTCTGCATTCAAGAGAGCTCAGATTTTATCAGCAGGGTTGGTTTCCTAGTGTTTCACGTAAGTGGAACTTGCTTAACTCTAATGCCATCGACTTCTGCTGCAGTTTCAGCTTCTACAGTGTGATGAATTAGTCAGGACTAGTGAGCAAGCTCTCGTTCTCCTGTGACATTGTCTTCTCAGCCTGCACCTCTCCCAGAAAACAGGAACCCTGGGCTTAAATGAGAAACTGGTCGCGTGGATTTAATATGATATGTTATGGGAATTGAAATTGAAATGGTCTTTTTGAAACATTGCATTTGCAAGGAAACTTGCTGGGGGGAAGGGGGCAGGGAGGGACACAAAATTATCTAAAATCTTTTCTTTACCACGTTACTGTGGGCTAGGCAGTTTGCTTAGCCAAATGTGGCAGTCCTGCAAAGCTAACATGGAGTGGATTTAAACCACTGTAAAACTTTCCTTTGAAAAAAGGCTGTTAGCTTCTGTGCTACCTTTCTCAATCCATTGCCCTGAGTCTTCCTCTCCTTTTCTTCTTCGCAGGGGGAGAAACTTTGGTTTTATAGACTGCAAACAGATACTATTATTTAGAGAAGACTTGTACTAGTAGCATCCATCTACTTTGTACGGGAGAATATAACTCTAAGAGCCAAAGTAGAAATTCAAGTGATAAAAGTGTAATGTCGGGAACTTGAGTACTGGCCTTGCATTACTTGGTCTCTACTTGGAATACTGTAATTTGAGGATGTGCTTCAGTAATTGAAATACATAATTGCGGTTACCAACAGGTTATTAGTCTCTAATCCTTTTCTCAGTTCCTTATGCTGCAAGAAGCTGAGGAGCTGAAACTTCTAGAGAGATTCTGAGGACAAAAACAGTCTTGATGGCTTGTAAGAAAAATATGGGGCTATCAGCCAGAACTGAAAAGGTAGATTGTACTGGTTTGACAAAGGTTGTATTTTAAATATTGGAATACCAAAAAGACACCACCACCATCACCGCCTTGGATTGAGGACAAATTTTGCCTACTATTTTTCAGATTGTATTTTAAATATTGGAATACCAAAAAGGCACCACCACCATCACCGCCTTGGATCGAGGGCAAATTTTGCCTACTATTTTTCAGCATGTTTGGCTGCATTAAAACTAAACTAGAAGTTGAGACGCACTGAGGAGAGAGGACTGCATGAAGAGTAAAGTAAGCAACAACAGCAATTTCCTCAGTGGAGTGGAAGCACAAAGTACTTACTTCTACTGTCTTGTAAGCTGTCCCCCTCCTTGAGTACGTTCCTACATGTCCCCTTGGAGCATGCCAAGTCAGCAATTTCCTCAGTGGAGTGGAAGCGCAAAGTACTTACTTCTACTGTCTTGTAAGCTGTCCCCCTCCTTGAGTACGTTCCTACATGTCCCCTTGGAGCATGCCAAGCACCGGAGGCAGCACTCAAGTGGGATACAAGGTGGGCAGATGTTTTTCCTCCCCTTTTTGGCCGCTCTGTTCTGCGTGCAGACATGGCACATAGCTGGGATTCTTGCATTACTTCAAATGAGGTAGGTGGGTGAGAAGGCCATAGATTTTTACTCTCTTGGTAGGTGTTTCCATAAACCTGCACTTACCTCTGTTTGCATGTACAAAAGCAGGCTTAGCAAGCTAGATCTCTGTCCTTTCTTAGAAATACAGGTTTAAATACTGACACCCAAGGAAGCCTAGTGATAAAATTCCTGTTGGTGAGGTCAGTGGCTCTGATATTTAAAGCCTTTATCTCCTTATCCCTGAACTGGGGACTTTAGAAAAATATTCTACTGGCTGCAGTAGTAAAGGGACTAAACAGAAACTTTAAAGAGCATGTTATGGGGAATGACTGTAGTCCATATTCTGTGGACAGAGGAAGAGTATGTCTCTCTCCATCCTTGCCCAAGACAACGTGACGTGCCTGGCTGCATCTTGAAATACCAAATATTCTTTGAGGTACCGTTCTCTTTCTTTCTGTCACTGGAGTGATGTATTTCAGCTCTGGAGGCTGTGATACCAAGTGGGGAGCCTTGCCTGACGTCTCAGCATGAGTACGAACGCACGGTACGCGCTTCAAAAACGTGTTTTTTTGTGCAGCCTGCTGCTCCCTTTCTTCTTGGAGATGACAGTAATAATATGCAGGAAGCCTGTGGATGTGCTCTGGGTGGAAGCTGCAGCCTTGACATGAAGCGGCAGCGCCTTTGCTGGGTTACGTTTACGAGTGGTGCCCTCTGTGGGCGGCTGGACCTCGGCGAACACTGGAGTGAAGAACCAAGCGTGCTGAGATGGAGGGGGATGCTACAAACCTGAAGGTTTTTGCAGCAGGGCAACCGTGCCAACTGCAGGACAGCGGCTGGTTATCGCATGCGCGGTAACAAGTAGATTGTGCTTTGGGGCAGGAGAGCAAGAGAAATTGAAGGTCTAGGTAGACTGGAAAGAAATATTATGGGAGGAGATGGTACCTTGCCAACTGCAGGACAGCGGCTGGTTATCGCATGCGCGGTAACAAGTAGATTGTGCTTTGGGGCAGGAGAGCAAGAGAAATCGAAGGTCTAGGTAGACCAGAAAGAAGTATTGTTACAGGAGGAGATGGTACCTCGTTGAGAGAAAAGATGGTGTTTATATGCCTGAAGAACTTGGGGTACACTTCTGTTTTCCTGACTCAAGTATGGTCTGTGGACAGGAACTACACGACGGGGCAAAAATCAGTTCTGAGAAGTGCCCTGTGACTCCCCACAGGTCCCGATTTATTGTCCATCCTTAGAGATGCTCTGAAAGTGAGACCCCAGGTTTGCCTGGAGGCTTTTCTGCTGCAGCATGGTTCCCCTGGATGAGGGGCTGTGCAGCTGGTCTGTGAGGCTCTGGCACAAAGGGCAGGCAGCAGGTCCAGGAGCATGCCATGCTCTCAGCTGGTTTTCCTCATCCCTCTGTCGGATGCTGTACAGGTAAATACTGTGTCCAGTAGTACCAGGAAAAGAGTTTGGAGCGTACTGAGGCTGAGCCAGTCATGGTGGGACAGGGTGATGGGAAGCACTGCCAGAGCCCAGACACACTCAGCAACTCTTGCCTTGTCCAGGGATGGAAAGTGGTACCCCTCTTCATCAGAAACATCTTCAGATGGTGACATTGTCACTGCTCTGAGACACATGGAATTCCCTTTTTCACATTTCTTCTTGCCTTGATGGATTCTGCATTACTGCACTTGGTTTTTTTCTGCTCTAATTAATTTATTTGTGTTTCAGAAAGATGGTTCTATGTGGCTATTTTATGTTTGATCAAGGAGATACACAACTAAAGGCAACCTCAAAAGATACAAGTATAGAAATAGATAATGTGAACATATTCTAAGTCTATGAATTGATGTACCTGTCTGTGACTGATGTGGGTTTTTTTTTCCTGAGTG